AATTTAAGAATAGCATGGACTTCAGATTACATATGTTGAAATCCTTTTTGATTTTCTAAATAAATCTGGATCAATTTGATAATTCTATTAATTTAGTCATTGTATGTAACAAAATAATATATATTTCTTATATCTTGTTTCTGTTTCTGATTACTGACTTTTTGTATGTGGATCACTGAGCTTACACTTTACAGAAGAGTAGCTGTATTAATCTAATGCAGAGGTCCCCAAACATTTCAGTTTGGCAGTCCACCTGCAGGGGGAGAGGGGAATTGGGTTTGTGTGACTGGTGGGCTGGTGCTTAAAAGCGTGGATGTAACCCTTGCACAAGTGGCAAGCTGACATGTAGACATGCAGCTTGACTTGTGCTAGTGGTGGGCTGTTGTGCCCATGCATGAATGCCTGCTGCTTGTATATGTTAAGCTGTACACGAACACTCCAGCCAGCCACACACATGGCCCAATTCTGAATAGGCCATGGCCAAGCAGTGGGCTGTAGCCCAGGGGTTGGGGGACCCCTGATCTAAAACATTCAGCAGAGTCTTGTAACAATTGGCACTTTTATTATCATATAAACTATAGGTTGCTTCATTAGATGCATAGTTACTCATATATTAAAAGTTAAAATCAAGTACATAGATATTTATTTGTATGTATAAGTGAGAGGAAGAATATTTTATGTCAAATTGGTAATTGCATGATAAATTCATATGATACTCCCACCGCTGGATCATTATCTCATCAGTAGGATACAAATAGGGTATATTATTTGGGTGTGTCCCCAAACAACTCTCTTATGAATAATCTTTGACACAGGCTATTACCGTAATTTTTACCTTTGACCCTAGGATTGGTCTTGAACTGTAGATACTATCAATGAAAAGAAAGGTTAAGTAAAAACCATTTCTGTATCAGAATTTGCAAAGAAAAGTCTACCAAAACAACCAGAAATTTTAAAAACGTTTTTACTTATATCTCTATTGCTATTGAAACATAGTCATCCATAGTAAAGTTGTATATTTTTCACGTTTTAAGTAGATCAGAGCTTCAATTGTTGCATATTTAATGACTTGCTAATATATAACCACATTTTTTTCTGTTAACTGCAAAGCTGCAACAAGGATAACATTAGCACCAACTAATGTTGATGTCATTGTTGGATTGAATGCTACCATGCAATGTCTTGCATCCCATGATCCTTTTTTAGACCTGACTTTTATCTGGCTCTTAAATGGATATCCAGTAAATGTTGATAAAGAGAGTGATTATTATGAAAGATCTATCATGGTGAGTTGCCTCACATTTCTCTGTTGACATATTTACATTTGGGTGTTAAAAATATTGTTGGTATTTTGGAGAAAGGAAAAGAGGGAATAATTATTATGAAGGTTTTCTTTCCCCCCATATTACAGTTTACTCCAAAAAGGAAAGTTACTATCTTAGAAGAAAAGAAAGTTACTGTCTCATGAACCCAATATTATAACCTTCTATAAACATATTGTTCATAAATTCATGGAGTAGCACTCCAGTATCAAAACAAGTTATTCCAAAAATTGCTTCTTTTCATGTCCTGACTTCAAGCAATTGAGAATGTTGTTTCTCCATAGCAATGTCTTCTTTCAATGTTCTTCCTGCAACTAAAAATGAAAAAATGCACCTGGAACAGCAGAATGATTGACATGAATCAGCCCCACTATGATGAATCCAGCCCACTGTGTTCAGTGTCAGACCACATATATTATTTATTATTGCATTTATAGTAACTGTCATTTGTTTGTTAAGGCAAAGCCTTGGAGCATTCATTTCCATGGCTACTAAAGAACCTCTCAAAGTGCTGCTTTGAGTACTCTGTGGGCCCTTCAAACAGAACTCTCCCATCTGGTGTGTTTGTTTCGAGCAAAGATATTAAGATTCCCTCCACAAATACATAAGAAATTGAATGGGTGCCCTGCCTATTGGCCCTGCTACTGCCGGGATACTTCTCGGCTGTGGCAGGCAGTGTATTGCTGTGCCTGCTGCTGCTGGAGGCCAGTGGCACCCCAGCTGAGCTGTTCTTTGGCCAGGCCAAAGGGTGGTGGTGGAAGCAACTCCCTGCACTGGCCACATGGCTGCTGCACAACCTGCCACTGCCCTGCCCGAATTCGGCTCTGCCCTGATGGTGCTCTTACAGTGCCCGCAGCCCAAGCTCTTGGCATGCCCCAGTCTCTGCCTGCCCTGCTTGCTGCTCTGCTGCTGCTGGGACACTTCTTGGTGGACACCATTGAGTGGCTGTCTGTGCTGTGTCTTTACAAGAGCTCATCAATCTCCTGGCTGCACTGCTCTCAACCTCCCTGATAAGTTGCTGCTGCCTGGTATGGTGCAAGTCGGCCCAGATCTAAAACTCTAGAGAACCCCGTCAGTTGCCACCCTGTTAGTGCCTCTATCAGCGGCTGCCAGTGGAACCACACCACCCATGCCACCTTGCCCACCACTTCCTTCAAGCTGCTGAGTGCCAGCCTGCAGGCCCTGTTTCTGGCCGCCTTCAGCCTCTACCTCACCTGTGGCTGCTGCCTCGCCTCCTGCCTGGCCTGGCCTGCTGCTAAGACCCTGCTGCTACCTAGCAGCCTCCACTGGGCACTGACCCAGCATAAGAAACAGGCCGTGTTCCGCAGCCAGTCAGAATCTCTCCTACTGGAGCTGCCCCATGCACCCCGCAGGCAAGGCAGTGTGCCCCTCCTCTGCTCTGCATGGCTTTGGCAGGTGTCTGGCAGGTGGAGGGAGGAAACTCCACCCCCACCACCTGCCTTTCCTCACCATCCTCACCAGGTGGAAGGAGAGGCAGCGGCAGTCTCCAGCAGCAGAACAGCCACAAGTGAAGTAGAGGCTGGAAGGCAGCCAGTGGCCGCCCATGCCTGCTTCCATAGCTGGCACGGGAACTGCAGCACCCACCAGGGTCAGACCCAGAAGAGCCTGAAGAGTGCCTGGCTCATCCTATAGCCCAGTGCCTGCAGCAAGTAGGTGTGAAGGCTCGTGCTCAGCAGCCCAAGTCAGCAGTGGGTGAGGCAATGTGGACAGCATGGCTCCACCAGCAGCCACTGGCAAAGGGGTCCTGGCTGGCTGGCAGAGCAGTCCAGAAGTCATAGATCTGGACTGACTTGCCCCATGCCAGGCAGGAGCAGCCCAATAGTGTGGCCAAGAGCAGCACAGCCAGGAGAGTGAAGAGTACCCATGAGGCCAGCAGTAGCATGGGCAGTTGCTGGCGGTCAGCATGGGGCCTGCCACAACCAAAAAGAATCCCAGTAGCAGCAGGGCCAGCAGGCAGGGCTGGCGGAGGCCAGTTGCACCAAGAGCTTGACTACAAGAGCAGCAGGGTGGTGGTTAGAGCTGAGCTCAGGCAGGTTGTGCAGCAGCCACACAGCCAGCGCAGGGATCTCCTCCCATTTCCGTCCATCAGCCTTGCCAAAGAGCAGCCCCCAGCAGCAGCAGGTGCAGCAGGCCCAGGAGCCATGCAGCAATGAGGGCTTCTGAAATTGATCTGAGAAAGAACAGACATCTGAGGAGGCACTTTCTTCCCTTTCAATCCCTTCTGCAGTCACTGAAAGAGCCAAACAGCAAATGTTCAGGGAGAAAAGAAGGTAAAGGGGGGGGGGGGAACCTAAAGAAATCTTCCTCCCCTCACAGGTGAGCAACATTGAGCGGGCCACACACACCTGGGCAACCACAATACTAATGTAAATGCGTCCATCTGGCTGACGATCTTAGCTGGAGCTTATTTTGGGGGTAAGGTTTATATTACGAGCAGCCTGAAATCATGCTAGAGCTTATTTTCTGGTTGGGTTTTATTTTCAGAGGAACATGGTCAATGTTCCCTCTAATTTTTTTTCAGTGTGAGCGGAAAAGTATAGTGTTTGAGCGGCACATTTTCATGCCTGAGCACCTGAATTTTTTTAACAGATGTCACTACAGAGGGTTTCAGTAACCTACTACTACTGCAAAACTNGGAAATTGAATGTAAATTGTAAACAGTGATTTGGAAAGGAGGATTAGAAATTTTTGTTACTAAATATTATGGATGTTTAGCCAGAATAGGCCATAAGGGTTCAGTGTTATTGGAGGATATTAGAAATAGCAAATGAAATGTCAGTATGTGGTCATGTTTTAAATCTTGGTATATTTTATGATGGAGGTTTAAACAATTATAGTCAAATGAAAATGGAGGTATGATGATGGTAATATGTATAAATATATCTGAGTTAAAATACTTGAGATAATATGAATTATGGTTGATGACTGTGGAAGAGATGCACGAAAGTCTTTTGTAACTTTTGTCTTTTGAAAGTCTTTTATATATTTGTATATATATGAAAGGAGAAAAAGAATACATTTTCCAGCATTTAGCCCAGAGCTTTGTTGCTATCTCTTTGTTGTTAATGTGCCATCTCACATTACTTACAGCGGGCAGAATTCACATGCTGCATTTCACAAGTTACTTTACTAGGCTACTTGGCAATTAGCCTGAAGGCTTTTTCTTTGCAGCTGGCACATTAAATTACAATGGAGCTTCTCTCAACAGATCTTGTTTGTACTAGCATCCTATGGTCTGGCACCCTGAGAAAAATGTATATTACTCTTCAAACATCCCAGAATTCTCAAAACATGTTGGTGAGCTCTGGTTGGCTGGAAACGGATTGGAAATGGACTATATCTTATTTTTGTATCTAGCAAGTGAGGTACTGTCAGAGCTGGCTTGACTTTATGGCAGCCACCACTCTTAGTAAAGGAACCCTTTGCTTTAACCAAATGGAGTTGAAGGTTTTTCTTTCCTAATGTATCAGATTGGGGCAAGTCTGACAAAAGCTGTTATCCAAATGAAACCAAACTAAAAAAATCTATGTTTGCCTTAAAAAGGTAAGGTAGGGTAAGATGTAAGGAGAGAAAAAATTATAACCTTATTCTGAAACAGCAATCATCATTATCTTGACATTTATCATTATCTATTTTTACTATGTGTTTTACTCACAGTATTGGAAAGGAGAATTGAGATTTTCTAGCCTGAACCTTGAAGATTCAGGCATGTATCAATGTGTAGCGGAAAATATACATGGAATGATTTATTCAAATGCTGAATTAAAAGTTATTGGTAAGTGTATTATACTACATTATTATAAAACATTTTAGGTAGAAAATACAATAACAATATTCAGCTGAGCTCTGGTCATGTCACTACATATCAGTTGCTCATCAATCAGCCTGCATTTACAGCTGTTTGCATGTTTCTAGAATCACATAACCACATTTTATCTTTTTGAAGAATTTGAATATTTTTTCCATGGTGGCTTTACATTTAGATATAAATATGTGATAGCTTATTGCATTTTATGCTGTGATATTGTTCCATTGAAAGAAATTGATTTCTCATTAGCCTTATACAAACTCCATGTTTGATCTGAAGATTCTATTACATATTTAGAGATTTATGGAAAGTGGAAAAAAGTATAAAGATTCTTATTGTACAATAGAAATCTATTTGCATAATTTGTAGTATCTTAAATTGTTATTGTGTTATCTAATTATTGTAAAATTCTTTGGAAATATTTGAAGAATTAGAATGAAACTTGTAGAAACTGTAGTGGCATATATTAAGATAGAGACAGACAGATAGAGACAGACAGATTTTTTTCTCTCTTTTGGTTCTGTTGAGTTATAGTAATGATGGAAAACGTCTGTCAACTAATAGTATTTTAAGCATTGATGTTGATTTTAGTCTGCTATACCAAATATAACTTTTGTTTCTTTTTAATCTTTCAACATGTAGAAGAAACTGTTTCTTATTTTCTGGACTGAGTTAAATATGATATCTCAAATAGAATTAATGCATAAAATCATTTATTTACTTAAATTCTCTATTTTTGAGAATAGATGCAACTATTAACATCTCACAAATTCAACATTATGGTTCAACTTTGTTTTATTCTGCAAAATCTCTCTAGGTTTTCAGTATAATTGACTATTATATGCTATTGTCAGAACACAGGAGCACACTGGTACCCTGTTTCCCTGAAAATAAGACTTCCCTGGATAATAAGCCCAATTGGGCTTTTGAGCACATGCGCCCTTCCCCCAAAATAAGCCCTCCCTGAAAATATTGCAACACAGCAGTAGCCATGAGATGACCACCTCCTGCACCTCAAAAATAATAAGACCTCCCGAAAAATAAGGCCAAGTGCTTATTTCACGGGTCAAAAGAAAATAAGACCCTGTCTTATTTTCGAGGAAACATGGTAGCATTGTACTATAAAGTACTGTATACATGTCTAATAATTAAGTTTTTCTTCACAGTGTTGCCTCCAACCTTTGAATTCTACCCAATGAAGAAAGAGGTTTTGGCTGCAAAAGGAGGGCAGGCTATAATTGAGTGCAAGCCTAGAGCAGCTCCTAAACCAAAAATTACCTGGAGTAGAGGGACAGAAATTCTTAAAAACTCAACTAGGTTAGTATTACTGCTGAGTATAGTAAATAATCTACAAAGCATTATTTCAGAATTCAGTATCAATTTTTTTAAAAACCCTGTGCTTCTGCATGGTTTGGCCTGAATATAAGTGTGCCACAGAAATGGGAAATTTTATTAATACTAGAGAATAAATCTTTAGGTTAGTTGGTTATATTGGCCTTCTTCATGGTTAAGGAAAGCAGGACCATGCTTTTTTTCCCCCTTCAAATTCTGCAGTTCCATCAGTATAGCTAGTTTATTCATTTGAGCTTTGTTCATTGCACAAAACTAGGCAGAGTGACAAGAAATGAATGAACCCAACCTATATGCTTGTCATTCAAGACAGTGGTTGCTTTTCAATGAATCTAAAAAAGTGTACAACTATTTTAAGGGGTCTACTCCTTATGGGCAATACAATCTTTAAAGTAGCTGCATTTTTTCACACATCTCACACACACTGTGTTTATTTGTATATTGGGATTAAAACAGCAAACCCTTCTGTGTCTTTCTGGTGCCATTAGTGTTTTTTTCCTCCAGTCATTCAGCATAAGCTAGATGGTTGCCTATATAAAAAGATGTTCCTCTCAACTTTTTGCCACCATTGAACTGCTGTGTAATATTAGAAGATGTGTTTGTTCTACTTGGGCAATTTAGTAACTCTCCCTCTTTCCTGGAGTTAAGCAGCACAAAGTGAATAAATGGCAATGATTATTATAGATACGAAAATACTTCGTGTAACTGGCAGGAGAGAAAAAAATGTGTAATGCCAAACTTCCATTTCCATCCACATTTTCTTATTATTCTATTGTTGATTCTCAAGTTTCTTAACAATTTCTTTTTCTTTCTTTTTTCTTTTTATTTTTTTAAATACAAATAATACAAACATAATAAATACAAAAAAAGAAAGAAAAAGGAAAAAAAACAAAAATTATAGTGCCCCCCCCTCACCGGAGACCTTCCCCCCCATATTTCATCATCTATAACAACTAAAAGATATACAATGTATTCCAATTGTGCCCATATACCCTAAATAACATATATTCTTGAGTAGGTTTATTCCCTTTGCCTTCCACCAACACTGATTTTATAAAATCCCCCCATATTTCATTATAATTATTTAGTTTAATCATCCCTTTTTTAAATTTAATTTCTGTTCTTAATTTATCATTTGTTGCCATAATCCATTATACCACTAATTTCTCTGAATGTCCCAATTTCATCCCCAGTATTTAGCCATCACTAATCTAGCTGCCATTATCAAATTTACAATCAATTCCTTTTTTGTTTCATTTATATCCCGTTTTTCCACCAGCAACATTAATGCAATTGTTGATGACATATCTAAATTTACATTCCACAGTGCTCTAATTTCTGTCAACACATGTCCCATATTTTTTGTGCACAATCACAATCCCACCACATATATTTATATGTTCCAACCTCTTTCTTGCACCTCCAACAAATATTTGTATGTTAACTGTCTAGTTCTCTCGCCTCCCCCTACAGTTAGCACTAAGCAGACTCAGTCACTGTGACTCTGGAGTCTGGCAGCAACTACCTTAGCCTTTTTAATTATTTTAAAATTTCTTTTCTTTTCCCCCGCCTCCCCTGCCTCCCCTGACTGCATGTCCCTGC